CGCCCCCGCGCCCCCGGCCGCCTCCCCCCCCCCCGCCTCCCAGCTCCCACCCCCCCCCGCGGCTGCCCTACTGCCCCCCTGCCAAACCCACCTCCCACTGCCAAACCCATCAGCTAACCCCGCAGCAAGCACCTCCTCCCACCACTGCTGAATGCTTGTCATCCCCAAGAGTCCAACAGCTTCTCCTCTGCACCCCAGCAATCCCTCCCACACCCCATGCTCCCCCCAAATGCCCTGCAGCTGGGGAGTGGGCCGCGTGGTGTCCCCCAGTTCAGGCCAGCGCTCTGGAGCCCATGGGGTGTGGGGCCGTACCTGGCTGGGGAGCAGTGCTGCACCCCGCCTGCCCCTGAGCGAGCCCCGCTGCAGGAACTGGCCCAGCAGTAATCGAGCTCCGTCTCCCCGATCCCAAGGGGCCCCACGAATGGGGCAGCCCAGCAGCGCTGAGCTGGGCAGCGAGCCAGGACCCCGGACTCGGGACCCAGAGAGGAAGGGCTGGGCCGGCCGGGCCCCCAGCATCCTGTCCTCTAGAAGGTGTGTGTGGGGGGTGCGGTATGGCAGGACCCCCAGTGTCACGTCCTCCATTGGAGGGAGGCATTTGGGCAGTTCGTGTCGCAGGGCCTCCGGGGGCCCTGGCTGCTCACAGACCAGCACCGAGGCACTGGGGCCTGGGCAGGAATGAGCCTGCGGTCCCACAAATGCAGCAGGGCCCGGGAGCAGCTGCAGCACAGACAGTGCTGGGATCCGTGCCTACAGCCCAGTGCGCTGGGAGAGCCGTGCTTTGTTCCATACAGTGCGGGGCCCCGGCACGCGCCCAGCTGCGTGGGGTGGGATCCGTGCCCACAGCCCAGTGCGCTGGGAGAGCCGGGCTCTGCTCCGTACAGTGCGGGGCCCCGGCACGCGCCCAGCTGCGTGGGGTGGGATCCGTGCCCACAGCTCAGTGCGCTGGGAGAGCCGGGCTCTGCTCCGTACAGTGCGGGGCCCTGGCACGTGCCCAGCTGAGCCTGGGGCCTGCGCAGAGCCACACATGGAGATGCAGTCAGGGTGATGCCAGCTGCTGCCCGGCGTGCCTTGGGGCAAGTGCAATCACCGGGCTGGCCGCGGACCCCTACCTCGGCTGGCCCTGCTGCGCCGGCTGTGGGGCTCCACAGCCAAGCTCAACACACTCTTCATGGTCTCATGGCCTGCATCCGCCTGCTTCTCTGGGCAGGCCGACCCCACGGCTGGAGAGGAGCTTGCCTCAGGGCTGTCGGCCATGCC